TAAGCACATAGAAGTGCGTTGTAGACAGCCAGTGATCGGTGAAATTTATACGCACTGATGTTAAGTCTAGTCATAATTTTTGTGTATCTTTGGCTTTTGTAGTAGTCACTGTTGTTGCCGTCAAAATTTTGATTCAAATGTTACAGTGTTATAAGAAAGTTAATTCATACTTATTGGGTAGATTAATTTTAAAATTTTTTAATTTCGATGAAATGGAATGACTATGCAGTGATGGTTTGCTGTCTCAATATAGCTGTTTAACAACTCAAAATCATAACTTTTTGTTCATTCATGTGTTTTACCGCTTAGGCATTCAATTAATGCCGGAGAGGAAAGAACGTGATTTTTTGCTACTTTATTAATATTTTTTTAAAATAAAAACTGGAACTAAAATTGCGTTGGAACTCATTTCTGGACTTCGGACATCTTTTATGCGAAAATCAACAATTTTCCTCATGCTGGCTGGAAGTAAACTAAATTTTTCAGGTCCTCTAGTTTTATTTTTTCTATTCAACGCTTTTTTGGCTCCTTTTTTAATTTATCAAGTCTTTTGGGGCTTTGGTGAAACTTTGGTGAAATATAAAATATAGTTTTGAGAGCAATGAACTTTTGCTATTTTTACCTATTTTGGGCAGTTGCCGGTATTTGTAGATAACAACAGTTTGTTTACTGTTTTGCACTTCAAGAATTTTTTGGTTCGGTGTAGACTAAGCTTGTTGATGTGATCATCATCTTCTTCTGGGGCGTCTTGACGAAAGTCGAGGCATGAAATTTTGAAAAACGTTACTTGTCGTTTTTTGTTTCTATTATAAATCAAAAATCTGAAATAACTGTTTTCGTTTCTTTTATGAGCATACTTTTATTGCTAAAAAGAACTGTGGCCGAATCATACTTATAGCTGTTTAATACGTTAGTATACGAAAATATTGTTATGATCATTAAAATATTGTTAAAGCTTAAACAAATAATCGTTACATCAATATTATTGCAGTTGTTAATTATATGTTTTTTCTTCTTATTCGTCAGCAACGCTCAGATTGAATCCTGTTCTTCTAGGTATTCTCCAAGTGCACTTCGTTTTTACGGCATCTGTATCAATAAATTGCCGACATTTCGTTTTTCCTTGGAACTGTTCAGTTATTTGGTTAATCAGTTATTTTGATAAGAAAGAGTTTTTTATTTATTGTTCAATACTACATGGTACTTTTTTCTAAATGGAGTACACTTTTTTTTTTTTTTTTAAAGTAAGAATTATTTTCAAAGGGACCTAGTACCTAATTAAGTGTGTGAGTGCTTTTTTCTTTATCGTTTTTTTTATCATACTTGTTTAACAGTAGCAGTTATTTGGACGTCTTCTAAACTCCTTTTACAAAAAGTTTAAGAAGATTACTAGTAATTGAGTGTGTGCATAATCGGATAAAAGGTGCACTTTCTGCTTTTTAATACCGAGAAAACTACATTTTGTGTATGGTTGCGCCTTAAAAAAGAAGAATTTCTTAATGTCAGGTTTGTAAAGCGATTTCGTAGTGTTGTATTTATTTATGCAATATCTTACGAAGCTGATTATCGGTTATATGAAACTTTATTTTTTCTGCGAAACAATAAAAAACAGTCAAAGCAAATTTTCTTTTTTTTTTTCTTTTGAAGAAGAGTTTATGACAAAATCTCACGATTTATAAGCAAATAGTGATAAAAGTAAAGAGTATCTGTTCAAGTGTTAGGCAAAAAAAAAAAGGTGTTATTTTTGAATTTTTTTTGATTTTTTTTTTTTGCTGATGTAGAAAGGTCTATATGATCACTCAAAATAAGGTTGTTTACTTCGACTATCCGTTGGCCTCAGTTACACTTTTGTAGCATGTAAATTGAATATTTTTTGTTCTTCTGTAGCTTTTACTATAGCTGCTTTTGAATGATAGAGTTTTGCTTTTACAAAACGTATCATTTACTGGTGTTCGTGATGCTATAGACTCATTTTTAAATATCTTTGGGTAAATTTTTCTGCTTGGATTTTTATTTTTTTTTTCAATGAGCAATTTAACTTCTGAACAACTTCAGTTTTTTGTATAGTACTGGAACGTGGGCGAGAAATTTTTGAGGTTGACACTTTTATAACATATGACTAAAAAATGTGCTGCAGCCTAATTTGTATAATTTGTGGGTCATTTCATATCAACTTATTTCGAAGTTTGCCCACTGGCAGTCAACTGATGATCTTTTTTTTTTTATCTTAACGACAGGGAGACACTTTAGAGGACGACATACAATGTATAAATTTCAGTATATACAGTGAATTCCATTTTTTCTTATTTGTTTTCTTAGGTGTCTGCGAAGATACAATCAATTTCTGCAGATTTCCTTATAAGATTCGGCTAAAATTTTAGTGCTGGCTAGGAGGTTAAAATCATTTTTGCAAATTATTCTTTGCGGAAAGAACTTCCATTCTATTAGTTTCTAGAAGCTGCTGAATATGTGCCAATTACTTTTTGCGAATGACTTTCTCGTACCGCAAAAGTTCCTGAATGAAGTAAGAGGACTTTTCAGTTTTAAGGATAAGAATGAAAGAATGAATAGCTTTTGGAGCTTTTTTAGAGCTATCCAAGACAAAATACATTCAATTTTCAAAATAATGAGTAGAAACGCATTTTGATATTCATATGAATAACTGATGAGCATTTGCGAGAGTGATTGAAAGGTATTCCCTAATTATGAGCTCGGTACCAAAACTTATATGTTGTGTTTTTGTGGTCAAATTTAAGCTCGTTTTATAGCTTGCGCAAATAACAGCCTTGTGAGTTGTGATTTTACTTTTCTTTTTTGGCTGATCAGATCAGTATTTGATAAAGTACTAATATCGGAAATTCCTGAACTTTACATCTTAGTGAATGTTTTTAAAACAGCTGTTTACGGCAGCAGTAAATAATTTTTTTTACTGAAATAAGGATTTGAAAAAGCAAAGTTTCAGATTTCATTTGAAGTTGTTGCTAACCAAACATTGAAATTCTGTGTAAATCTTCACAGCAGTACGCAATGGTAAAACCAACGAGTTTTCAGTTGAAAAAATTTATTCAAGAAAACCGGGATAAACAAAAAAAAAACAATTTTTTTTGTTATTCTATAAGTACTCTCTTTATTAACCATTAGACTGTGACACCTGTGTAGGTTTTCGGGTCTTAAAATTCAATTTTGTATTTCATGAGTGCAGCTATCTTGGCAAGTTTTCTTTTTAAAATAATCTAGCTGCGTATTTGCATTTTTGACACTCTTAGAAAGCTGTACTTTGTTTATTGGTTCTTAGTTACGAGTTATTTTCGGCATCTTGATGCTTCTTGATTTCTGTAGACTAGCATTTGCGTCGCATGCACCTTTTGCGAAACGACTGATGAAACTGTATTTCAGCAAAATGATCATTAGGCAGCAAAACTGTGAAGAAGTATCATTGTTTTTTGCTTGAGAAACTAAATTCTTGTGACGGAGATAGTGAACTACTATCAGCTTTTATCACGTAATCACATTGCCAGCGGTCATAGTGAAAAAGGGTTATTTTTTTGGTCCTGGAAACTACCTGCTTAACCATTTTCGTTTGTCGTCACAAATTAAAGATTTCAAATTTAGCCACGCATTGAAACGGAATCGGTTTCTGACAGCGAGGAGATTTAAAATGGAGATTTTACATTTAAGTACATGGTTTACAAAGGAAATTGCCTAAGAACAGCTTCTAATTTTTTTTCTGATAGTACTGAGCAAGTTTGAGGTATGGACTTGCCACGTAGACATTGTTGACTGCTCTACCTCGAATTTTCAAAATACTTTGCTCAATAATTATGTGGGCCTTATTTTATCAGACACCTCGGTTTTCTTACGTTTTTGTGGCGCTAATGACATATAGATATGATCGTCATAAAAAGGGTTTAAAAAATCACTGACTATTCAGACGCAGCAGAAGACAAAGTTAGAAAGACAAATGAGAATGAGCAGGTATTTTCTGATGATACTTTCTATGAATGAATTGCTTATCGGCACACAGTTTCTCGTCACCTTACAAAAAAAATAGATGATACTTTTTTTTCGTTTTTGTTTGGCTGCTCTGCTGCTATTTTAGCTTTTCTTTTCAGACTTTTTTTGTATGAGACAGTATTTCAAAGGTACATCACATGGAGAAAAAGCACCACGCATTATTTTTGTTGTAAAATTTCAGAATAAACGACGAGCGTTTGGTGAAGTGTGCAGTATCAGTCTTGTTTAGAAAGAAAAAGTTTTATTTTTTAGCGTTCATGTTTTTTACCAGAAATCGAGTAAACCATCTCTTCAGATTATTCAAGCATTCATATGTTTAAATAGAATTTGACACTTTTTGTGTATTGTCGCCTGCTAATTTTTCGTGCCAGTAGTGATTACCGCCAAGTCTTTCTTAAGCCTCCTTTTTTTTTGCAGTTTGCTAGTCGTAAAATACAAGTTTTTCCAACTTATTTTCCATTTTATCCAGCTTTTTATTCTCAGATCCAACACTTTGCGATGGCAGAAGCTTCTGAACGAAAAGAGGAAAGACGAAAGCTTCTTGATCGAGGTTTAAAGGCGTTACGAAAACCTGGTAACAATTCTTACATAACTTATACGCTGTAGGTAACGCAAGTATTTGTTTTTTACAAGCATAACTTTTATCGGATAAAGTCGTGACGCTTTTTTGGCTAAAGTTTGAAGAAAAAGGCGATTAGGGGGTGAAAAACACAAATGGCTTCTTGAATTTTTTGTCGAGGGTAGAGGAGAACACCTTCATTTGAATTTCTTTATTAAAGTGTTCGCAAATCACTAGTCTGTTTTGGTGATCGAATTATAAAACAGTTTTTTTTTGCCAGGTTTTTCTTGCTCTATGTTTCTTGAAAATATTAGTTCAAAGTTTATTATAATTTGTAAAAATTTTTGCTGTATTAGAGCTAGCAATCTATGCATCACGGCTACATTGCCGATTCTCACATAAAAATAAATTTTCAGTTTTATTTTCACTGGTAAACTGTAGAAATAAAATTATTCTCGAAAGGTTGGTAGTTATTTCAGAAAATCTAGTTAAATATGCTAGTTTGGTGATTCTGGTTGTTCAGTATGCGTCACAAGTTTTGTATCTTCGATGGGTGAACATTCGACCCGGACTACGAGAAAAGTTTTTGTACACAGTTTGTGTGTTCTTCCAAGAAGTTTTCAAACTGACGGCTTGTATCTTGCTGGTCTGCATCCAAGAAAAGAGCATTGTAGGGCAAGTTTTAGTTTAGTTTAATCAAGATCTGCTAATGAGCAAACAAAATTTGGTTTGCATACATACTTAGTGAACCACATTTTTCAACAAAAGTCTTTTAGTTGTCACCGGAAAACACTTTGTTTTTTGAAAAACAATTTTTTGATTGCAATAATCTGCGTGGTTGCAAAAACAAAGAAATTTTGGGAATAAAGTTATTCAAACTTACGGTATCTTTCTAGTTTACTGGAGATTTGAGTAGTTGTTAACTTGTGAGAAAATCATTTTGACAAAAGTTGTTTTTTCTTGCTTCAAGGGCAGCAATGTTTGTAAGAAAAAATTAGAATAAAACTTTGATCATTGCAGAAGTAGAAGTCTCTAGTTTTAGAGCGTTTAAGCTGATGTATAAAGAAGTGTTTGTAAATTGGAAGGATACTTTAAAAGTATGCGTACCAGCGGGAATCTATGTTATACAAAATAATCTTCTCTACGTTGCCGTGGCTAATCTGTCAGCTGCTGTTTATATGGTAAGAAATCAGTTTTAAATTTATAACGCCTGAGCGTCTTGATGAGCAACTTCAAACAATTTTTTTAATATCCGTTTTTACTTTTGTTTACGGAGATCATCACTATTAGAAACTAGACTCTTTTCTGGGAAGGAGGCAGAAAGTAAAAATAAGGAGAAGCAGGAAGTGCCGATGAAATAGGCTGTGTTTTTCACTTTTTCGTATGATTTTTACAGGGAAGAGTAGAGCCATTTTCTAAAGAAATACCGATAGGTCCGAACAAATTCTTGATCTAAATTTATTTTTCTCCTGCCTCTGTAGTGCTCTCAGCGATAATCACATGCTACGACAACTTTGAATTTGACGAAAGTAAAAAACTTCAGCATTTTGAAATTTTGTTTAATGAAGAAATTACATTCACTATTGAATTCTCATTTTTTCATAAAGAGAGCGATTTTAGCCCACGTTTTGGCTGGGTCTTCTTTCATTTTCAAGAATTGATCATTAGCTTGTGATCACGGCGGCATGGTGCCAAGAATAAGGTTTAATTTTATCGCAGTAGTAGTTTATTAGTTTTTATAAGGAGTTTATCTTTCTGCAGTCGTCAGATATTATCATTTTACTGCGGCACAATGCAGAAGTGATGGATGCTGTGTAGCTGGAGAATTATGGCGAATAAAAACGTGGTTTTTCTGATAAGTAGCGAAATATACCTAAAGTTGCTTAAATTAGCCTGTTCAACTTTTTTTGAAGAAAAATTGGCTGGAATTAGTTGTTTGTAGAAAGTAAGTGTTGGGAAAACGTAGGTTTTGCAAGTATTAAGGTGAACTGCGTTTTGAAATATCTGCCGGTAAACTCTGATAGACTACAGAATCTCATGGGATGTACTGGTTTTTTTTGAAATGATTCTGACTGGAGAAGGATTGTTACGAGCGACATATTGGGTGGAAAAGAAACAGTAAACCGAGCGAATTTGGTGGGACCGGAAGGCAGTGTGGACACTAAGGTCTAAAGTGTCCAGAGCGAAACTTGGGATCGATTTTGCAGAGTTGAGTATCTGTGAAATTGTGGAGAATTTTGTTTGAAGATTTATGACCGATCTGGATTGTAGAAAGTATTGTTTTTATGGAAGTTCTAGTTAGAAATGCACGTCTTTTTTGGTCCTGCTTTTTTAAAAAAATTTTTCAACGCATTAAGAGTCCAAGCTTTTTGGAAAGTTTTTTTGATTTGAAAGCATGGTAGGTTTGTGCAGAAAACCATTACTGGTTAAAGGTATGAGGTGACTACAGGAAGATATGAGTGAAGTTACCAAAGAAATTTTAAAGGTTCAAATTAATGCTTCTTTTTTTCTTTGCTACAATGGCTTGTTTTGGATTTTTACCACAGGGTAAATAGGATAGGGACTGAAACAGAGTACTGAAAAATAAGCAGAGTAAATTGGATAAAGCAGAACAAAATGAATCAAATAAATAAATTACCACGGAGGAAACTAGTTGCTTTTCTACCCAGTTTGGTTTAGCAAGCTTCTTTACAATGCATACTTAGTTTATATTCTATCTATTTTATTTTCTAATTTTTATTTTTTCGCATACTTCAGGATGTCAAAATTATTCTTGCCACTTCTCTATTACACTTTACAAACAAAGGAGAGATTAAAGAGGTGTTCTAACAGATATTTGAAATTTGACTGAATGCACAAATTTCATAGCTTTTTTTTTGTTTTTCCTCGTAATAGCTTACCTGTAATTCAGTGATTTTAGGGGCCGGGGTTTAGAAGGACCGCAGTTTTCGATTCGTAAATACTGCTCTGTTATGCGCGAGCATGATGTGTAAGGATATGTAGCTATAGCTATTTCGTTATGTGACAAAATGAAAGCCGAGGGGAAAATGGGGAGGACTGGTTTGAAGGATTGTACTAGCGACTGAAAAATCCCGCTGTGATTAGTGTTTCACAAATGGTAGTGAAGTATTGCTTGGAAGTGAGGTCAAAAGAAGCGTAAAATGGAAAGAACTGCAAGTCAGTGAGGGAATAAAACTGTAATGCTGAATTAGAAGTCCGGTCCTAAAGCGTGACAGGAAAGCTAACTCGGCAAGATACCAGTGGAGGCGTTTCAATAGAAACTGTAGAAATGAAAAAATGTCCAGAAACAGTTTCTGATTAGGATATAACAAAATTGCTTTCGTGGAAATACCAAGATACCAGTAATCGCTAGCTTCCGCTCCTGGCACTTATATATGATTACGAAGCAATTGAAAACTGATTTTTATAGGTAGAGTTGGAGACACAGGAAAAAGTAGAAAGATCATGAGGGTTGATTTTCTGAATAATGTATAGCACTGATAGACTCCAGCAGCAAGTGAGGGTTCACACAGCAGAGTACAGGGAAACAAAGAAATTTTTCTGAAGGAATTCCTGTCAGGTCAGCTGCGACTCTGACAGGGTTCAGTATCGAGCGTTTGGATCTGGGACCGGCAGATTTTTTGATTTCTGGAGGGGTCGTGACGTAGTTCGGAACTAATGGGTAGGATTTGTTTCAAAGACGGTACATCATAATTATGAACTTGTTTGCTTAAATGTTCAGGATATTGGATGGATATAAAAATTCGTTAAGTAAAGGAAGAAAAACATTAGAGATTTACGCGAATTCTTTTGAAAACGGTTCGTTTAATTTTGTATGGCGTTGATCAGAAGTCAAAGAGGGCTCGTAAAAGAGAACCATTTCTGATATATTCACGTATGTGAGATGCTAAGGAATTTTGCGTACCCTGTTACTGCAGAATTAAGTAGAATAAAATTTGGTATTTTTATAAGTCAGTGTCCAGCCTGTGCAGGTGTTTGCTAAATTAAGCGCAATTGGTTGCGGAAATGATAGGGGGAGAAAGAAGACGCTAAAATTTGTTTAAGTTTAACAGCCAACATCTGTCAAAATTCTTTTTTTAATCTTCGCTCTCGACTTCGTGAGGTTGGAGTTGTAATGAAAAAATTCTTCATTTTTTTTTCTTCCGCAACCTTTAGAAGAAGGGTTTTCCTAAACCTTCTACTTTCGAAAGGATTGCTTGAATAAAAGGCTTTGTAAAAGTAGTGCTCAAGGGAAACACGACGTAGGGTCGTTATGCAGTTTTTGCGTGGTTGAATGGTATGGTAAAAGTTAAATGCTTTTTAGGAAATTAAAAGAGAGCTGTTTTATTTCAAACAGCTGTTGCAGTTTTAAGACAAGGGAGGAAAAGGAAAATGTTGAGAGCAGGAAATAATGGTGAGAGAGAGGGAATGTGCCTTATTCTTGTTGGAAATAGGGAGTAGTTGAATTTTATAAGCTTTTTTTTACTGCATTTGAACAAGGAAAAACTATAAAACTGAAGAGGAAAAAAAACATGGAAGAACTTTTCAATATCATCTGGGAGGCAGGGAAAGAGATTTTCAAATACTCAGAAGTAAATTTCTGTGAAGAACTCTTAAGGAATCTAAAATTAGTTTTCTCGCATTTATGAATGTTAAAGTCAAAGATATCACAGAGTACGTTAGTCAGATTTCACAGAAGAATTATCATTTTTTAGGTAACCTATCAGCTGAAAATCTTAACGACTGCATTGTTTACTGTACTGATACTGCGACGACGACTCTCGATGTTGCAGTGGATTGCCTTGATATTTCTTTTTGCCGGAATTGCCATGGTTCAAGTGGTATGTGACCTTAGAAATAAGCATTTTTGCGATTTTGGAACGCTTTATTCACTAGGCTGCGGAAGTTGGACTTTGATTTACAAAAATGTGTACTTTGAGGAGCAAAAAGAAAAGGAGGCGAAGAAACAGAAGGCCAATGAGCATCAGAATCTAATTGTTGGGGTTGGCGCTGTACTTTTTGCTTGTGTGCTTTCCGGTGGGTGTTTCCGTTAATTGTGCCGTCAGTGGTAATGAAATGTTGCTTGCTGGCAATTTCGAAATACTATGACATGTGTTAAACGTCCAAATAATGCTGTTTTAGAAGCATTAAATAAAAGCCGGTTACTGGATGCTTTTTTGGGTAAGGAAATACCTTTTCTTGACCGTTAGTCGTTCAGGTTTTGCGGGAATTTATTTCGAAAAAATCCTGAAACAGCGACGGGAAGTATCTGTATGGTTGCGGAATGTGCAGCTTGCAGCTATTTCACTTCTTCCTGCTACAGTAACGATATTTGTGAGTTTTGCAGTAGCGAGTTTCTATGTTACGGTTCGGCAAGAGACTTCTTTACTGATTTGTGGTTTCTGGAACCACCGAGTGTTCTTTTCGAAGTTTCATACTTCAGCCTTCACATTTAGAATGAGTTTTAAAATAAATAATGCATAAATGAAAATTTAGAGGAGAAATTTATTCTTTTTTATTAAGAAGATCAGTTTGATTGGTTCACGAGAACTTGTTTTGTACAGTGATATGAGATCTCATTTTTCTTCTTGCATAGCTTTAAGGGAAGGGATATTGATAATGAAGGTCCTGTTATGGTTTATTGGGTATGAGAAGGATTTAGATGAATACTAATGTACCTAGACTTTCAATGGAAAGGTTCTGGTAAAATCTTATATATTATAAATAAAGCTTTTAAGATATGAAAGCTGTTTAGGCAAAAGATTACAATAATGTGACGGAAAAGGGTTTCTTTGTTGGCTTCGACTTAGCCGTTTGGGGAGTTGTTTCACTGGGAGCATTCGGTGGTTTGTTGGTGGCAGTTGTGATCAAATTTGCTGACAACATTTTGAAAGCATTTGCAACTTCGTTTGCCATAATTTTGGCCTGCATAGTGTCAGTGATATTTTTCAATTTTAAACCTGGATACAAGTTTATCTTGGGTGCAACGTTAGTCATCGGCGCTGTGTTCGTATATGGGGCATTCCCATATAAGAAGAAGTACGAGCCGGCTGCTACTGAACCGCCACCACCATATAAGGAGAATGAGGAAGAAATGAAGGAGAGCAATGCGGAGGAATTGGAAAATACAGACAAAATCAAAGATACAAAGTTGCCAGTTTAACCAGCTCAGTTTTTATGGTATTATATTTCTATTTTGCTTGTAAATGATCACTACAAAATTAGTTTTTTTTTCTTATTACAAATTTAGCTACAGGTCTCTGAGTCCACAGAATACAATTTTGTTTACTCGGCAAGTTTTAAACAACAGAAGTGTGGTGCTTTCCCAGTTATTGGCATGACAGAAGTGACGAAGTCAACGCGTGGCTTTTTTCAAATAGCTCAAAGAAAAACATTCTGTAAATATTTTGAAGTTGGAATTTAGTGAGGAATCTACCATTTACTCGTATGATAATTGGTTGATTACGAAAGAGAAGTTTGTACTTAACGTCGCTTACGCATGGAAGATTGAAGGTTCGATTTACTGTTACAGATTTACAGTAAATCCTAGAATTATCTTAGTCATGTACCGTTTTAACGGTCTTGCAGAAAAAACTTTTGTACTTAGCGAACACGAAGCTGTTTGCTATGTAACACTCAAGTGGTGTTATGCGATTTCTTGTTCTTCATTTAGCAAAACTCTGAAGCCGGTCGGTCTGGTGATCGTGCGTTTCTATTCAGGAATTTAGGGATTAATATTATGTGTCCTAATTTCTGAATTCTTTTATGGTCAAATTTTGTTTTCTTCTGTTATGCAACCTGAGGAGGTGATGATGAAGTTTAGCAACTGAAAAATTATTTTTTTCGATGGTTTTTTGAAATGATAAGTGCATTTGAAAAAGGCAGTGAAATACTCTCAGAATTAACACTTTTTAGAGGACTGCTTTGGCAAACTTCTTTTTTTAGTGCTTAAACTTTTAACACTACCCTTCTTGGGCGCCTAACAGAATGAAACGCAATCAGTAAGGTTTACCCATCAAAAAGTAAGTATATGTGACCCCTTGATTTTTTGTATAGAAACAAATATTGAACATTTAGGGGGGTCCACTATATGAAGCAAAAGAATATTGTGAAACTGCAAGATACTTTTATAAATCACCCTAGCGGTATGCTCAGGAGTTAAAAAAAGAATCATATGAAAAGCTTTCTGCTAGCAGTATCACATTTTGAGATCAGAGAATATATGTTTGTTTTATGAAACAGAATGGTTTTCTTTGTTAAAATGAAGTTGCGTATGAACTCCGCAACAGATTGCCTAATGTTAAAGAAAGTGTATAAACTAGTAGCTTGCTTTTCGCTGCAATTTCGACTTCAAGATAGTCTCAGATATTTTTTTTCTTTGTTATCTAAAAACTGTTTCACCTGCGCGTTTCAGGTAAAAGGGAATTAGAGAATACTAGGATTTTTTTTCTGCCGGACACTAGCGTTTCTTAACGTTTTTTCGCTTTACGGCATTCCGCTTCTCGTTTCTTTTAGCACCCTGGTTTCTTTAGGAACCCTGCCCACCGGGGCGGAGATGGAACCACCAGCCCAAGCAAGGCGCTAGCGAGTAGCACCTTGCTTGAGCTAGCAGTGAGCGAGCAACATATAGTTGCTGTGCCTGCAGACATGCAGCATGACTACAATATGTTTCCTTAACGATTTCTTTTATAAATATGACCGTTCAACTGTCGACG